TTTTAATAAATGGAACCATGGAAAATATATGTTGTTCTTCGTTTCAAGTTCAATGTGCTTTTCATGTAAATCAACTTGTTTTTTTTGTTATTTCAACAGCTTGTTTACTCTAGTTTGCATCTGATGTACCGCATCATCGAATTTCCTTGAAATCGGTTGAGTTTGTTTTCGACATGCCTTTATTTGAACACAAATAATTTTGAAACCCTTTTAAGTATCAAATCAATACTCGCCAGGGCTAAAGTTAAGATTACAAGCTTTACAATGGTTTAACAATAATGGCGGTACGTGTTTCCGCGCCTACGCTAGAGCCTCGCAAAACAATTTGAAGGTATTTTTGGGACGCGCTGTATGTCACCGGAGAGGTAAATTCAGATATTAATTTTGACGAAAAGCGCAACTTGTTGTCCGAAAGTGTCCGATTAGACTGGTTCGCGGTCCCTCCATTGTCCTTCGGACTTTGAAAGTAGGGACAGGTACTGGGCAATAGAAAAGGAATACATTATGCCAATTATATGCAGGACTAGCCTAGGTCTGATTCCCGCCCCCTAAATATAAAATAACAACGATAATGTTAGCGCGGAACCGGCATATTGAAAAATGGCAACATAGCCACCATAAACGTGCAATTTGTGCGGTGATATGCTCCGATTTTCGCTGAATTCGAAAGTGGCTCTAGCAACTATCAATAAAGAGAGGGGCACTACATTTCAGTATTTGAAAACGATACATGTATGCAGTTGAAATGCTTAAAAGTTGTCTTCGTGTAGACACTGGCGATTTTGCCTACTGGTTATGGTATAAGAGTAAGTTTTTGAGTAATTAAAACTGTCATCCATGCGCAAAGCTGTGCATATTATTTTCAAAAATAATCAATCATGCTGCGCACGCGCACTGTACAAGGAGGACTACAGGCTGGCCCTATAGTCATCTTTACATCAATTACTTTAAATAAGGAACTAGCTATCGGTCCCCATATTATGTCTACTAAGTGTCTGATATCATCCACTTCGAACAGCGCCCCCAATAGCCGGATGGTTTTAGCGATCTAAGGCTTGCCAACAGGTGACAATGCAGCCTCGTCCCCAGGGCTTACTTTATTTTCAACCTCGTTGCCAATAGCCAGCCCTGGATACAAAACTTTCTGTCTGTATCCTGATGTGATTGGCAATTGCCAATTGGCAATTAAGTAATGGATTTATATCGTGTACTTGGTGTTGTTATTTCCAACGTGCATTACGGGTTTTCACGTTTATTTTAATTATTACGTCTACACCTAGTACCTTTCGCAAAATAATCCTTTCTCAAACAAACGTTATTGCAAAGCACAGACAGGCACCAGACTTTTCCTAATGTGCATACGTGTCCAAAACTTTTTGACATGCAAATGACCCAATACCAGAGTGAGCAGAGAGCAGGTAGTGGTGGGCGCGTACTGCTCGACACCCTGGGGCAAGGATGGCTACAATGGCCATTGTTTGTCCAAGGCTAAAATTTGTCCAAGATAGCAATTTCCGGCAAAAGGTCATTAAACAAGAGAAAGGCGTGCATGATATTCAATGTTTACTTGAAAACTATCGTCTGTAATCAGATATCTCTACGTGCTTCTTTTTTTATATTCTTTGCCCATACTGTTAATTGCTGATAAAATTTAGATATATCCTGTTACTTAATATGTAAAGAAGGAATGTTAGGTCAAACGCAACCTACCCATTATGGTGTATTTAATTAAATACAAAAGTAGCCACGTGCAAGTCTGTTAGAATAAACACTGAGAAATTGCCTGGGTTAATTTTACCCAAGAAAGGGTGAAAACTGGAACTACCCAAACATGGGTTGTTCTATAACCAATTATTTGGGTTTGAATTTCTGCTAAATTCAACCAAAACTTGTGGTCATTCAAGACCAAATTCTGTCTTGTATGACTACAAGTTTTGGTTGAATTTAGCAGAAATTCTAACCCAAACAATTGGTTATAGAACAACCCAAGTTTGGGTAGTTCCATTTTTCACCCTTTCTTTGGTAAAATTAACCCAGGCAATTTTTCAGTGAACTTGTCCACACTGTCCTAAATTGCTAATAAATATTTATTTATTCATATATTTATTTCTGTAAATAAGGAATCACTACATGTATCAGGAAAAATTTCCAACGCTGGTGCATTTAATTAACTATTTAAATACCAATGTGCAACTCTGTAAAATTAAAGATGTGTTCCTCGTGCTATGTCGTAAACAGATTTGTTTGTGCAATGTCTGTTTCCCTAGAAACATACAAATTATTTACTTCTGAATAAGACATGGAACCGAATGAAACACCAACGTTAAGTTATTGAATTATATACACAATCATATAGTTTAATCAAAGATGAGGTTTAAGACTGCTGTTGGTTTACATTTTGCTACAATTTGAAGCCGGCACATCAGCGGTGTAGCTAGGGGGCAGGGGGCGCACGCCCCCCCCCCCCCGGAAATAGTTCGCGCTGCCAGTCGCCCCCTCCCCCCTCCCCCCACTGGAAATTTAGCATCAGGAGAAAAGCACGGCCGTTTGAGTTACCATGATTTTGCTGGAGGAACATAACCTTTTTTCCCGCGATTTTGTGCATATTCACCAAAATCCTCATTTTCGCGAGTGGATGTTAATTGTACTGTCCTCGGAAAGCGAATAGCGGTAGTTATTGCCTCACATCAACCATGATATAGGTTTTGAACAGCGCCCCCATGGGAAGTGATATAGAGTATATATCTATATATATAAGAGAGAAGTTTACTCGCCCCCGAGACGATGTTTGCTCCTGAAAGGATCCGAGACCACGGGCTCCCGCTGCGCGAAAATCGCTCCACGTCCGTGGAAAAATACGGAGGGTGTCTTCCGCCGGGTCGGACACTTCGGGTCGTCCTGATTTTCCCGTACGGACCGGCGATCCTTTTCGTCGATTTTTCGTGACTGCCTTTTCGCAGGAATTTGCCGTCGTGTGCGCTTTCACGTTGACTGCCTGGCCGCCCCCTGTGCTGGCTTCTCTGCGTGTCTAGACTGTGCGAGGTCAGCGAGGTCAACGTAGGGGTTTCGTTTACGTGTTCTACTCAGCCGTTCTGCAAAAGCGTTCACCAAATTGTGTTATGGGGTGACCTTGGTAAAATATGTTTTCTCCATGGTGCGTGGCCACCAAGTGCCCCTATTCTTTCATATGCTTCGCTTGCCGCCCCTGCGCCGTGTGCAACGAATACTCAGAAGGACTACACATTAAGTATGCCTTGCGCGGTCTGACCACGGTCTGACCACTGCGTAGTCTACACTGCGTAGTATTTCCGGGCTATGCAAAACTGTCAATGGCAAGGCGTACTGCAGCCTGCTCCACACCCTGGAAACGAGGTTGGGTCTACGGTTCTCGCTATTTGCATGATTTGAAGCACAAGCATGTGAGTGACGTGATAGTGCTCTGTTGCTTCCATCGTGTGTTAATACAGCTCCATGCTTCCACCAAGGCTGAGCGTTGTGAGTTCGCTGCCCGCCACAGTGTTGCGTTATAATTTCGGGGGCCTGTCTGGGATCAACGAAGGATCGATGCATTGCTTCAAACATCGAGATCTTAAACGCAGTCACACAAAAAATCAACGAAAATGTGTCCGATCCGGCGTAAGACACCCTCCACATTTTTCCACGGACGTGGAGCGATTTTGGCGTGGCGAAAGACCGCGGTCTCAGATCGTTTCAGGAGGCCGAGTAAATTTGCTCTTATATAGATGGTTGCCCCAAGTTGAATAACAGTTGACTCGACAAGTTCCTCGCAGACAGTCTCGCAAATTGTAAGACGTTCAAGTTTACGTTTGTTGAAGAGTCCAATATACTGAAACTTAATTATGACCTTCTTAATCAGCCTTCGCCTGTGTACTACGGCAAGCCTTTCAAGTACGTTTTCCCACAAATGAAAATGCCAATTTAACAGAACGGGAACATTTACAGACTGTTGCCATGGTACATAATTGTTAGTGGTCAGAAATTGCCTCAGATCGCACCACAGAAATTGCTTTTCTATAACTGCATGTCTTCTCAACTAAATCCCCCAGTTACATTCATCTCCCCACATTTTCATCCCCAACTCTACGCCCTACCCGATCTATGATCGGGTAAATCAACAAGGGATCGATGCATTGCTTCAAATATTGTGATCTTTGAACTATGTTGGGTTGGAATAACGAAGAGTGCATAAATAATAATATTGGCGGTTGTTGGCTGTTTGGCCTTGCTTATATTATGGTTGAACCATGCCAACTTGAATAAAATAGTTAAATCGCCTTTTTCCTCGCGGGTCTCGCAAATTGTAAGAAGTTCAAGTTTACGTTTGTTGAAGAGTCCAATTTCATAATGACCTTCCTCCATGATTCAGACTATGTAATTTTATGGTAACACACTCAACATTTTTACTGCAAATGCCACCTTCACGATTTATTCCATTATGATTTACTGTCAAAACAGTACAATCAGCCTTCGCCTGTGTACTATACGGTAAGTCTTTCAACTCAGTTTTCCCACATTAACAAACGCGACTGCCTCACAAAATGCAATTTAACAGACCAACGGGAAAATTTACAGACAGTTATACATGCCATGGTACATAATTATCATGGGCGCGGCGTCAATCGGTGGGGGACGGGGGACCCCCACCCCAACATTTTAAAGCGGGCAATATCGTTTGATTCCCTACCCCCACTTTTTCTTCCCCGAATAAAAATTGTAGCCTACTATAATATTCTTTTGCTCAGAACAGCTGATTCAATGACTCCAAACTCGAAAATGATGTTTAAAAGATGATCTTTTGTTTTACTATCGTACGTGGTCAGAAATTGCCTCAGATCGCGTCACCGTAAATTGCTTTTCTATAGCTACATGTCTTCTCAACTAAATCATCTATGATCGGGTAAATCAGCTTGTAGATGATATACGGAATTTGGGTGTCCGGTGAAAAAAAAATTGTAACCCCCCCCCCCCCAACACTCCCAGGATGAGAACCCTGACTACGCTGCTGCTGAACAAACAGATAATCGGGCAACAAATAATACACGACTATTAATCTTTCGAATGTTCTATGAATTACACTCTCGTTAAGCCTGCCGTAATAGTTTTGCATGATGGCGACGATACCTAATTTTTGCTTGACGAGCTGTGTCCCCATGAGTTTGAGAAAGTGAAAGGGGCGCAAAACTGTTCATTCTTTGTTTCCTTTTTTTTATATCTCAGAGCAACCCAACAGCTCAAACTGAAGGCAGCAGAAATGAGTGCACCGTCTGGGTTCTATTCGCAGGAATCGGGTGCGCACGGCCATCGGGAACTGAGTGGTTACATGGGAGCTCCCGTCGATGTTGCCTGTGAACTTCAAACAAACATTAAATGGACATTTGTAAATGTAGCCTGTCGACGATAACAAGGACTTATAATTTCAAAGACATATGTTTTTAGGAAGGGGTTGTGTCTCTCCCACTGAATATTTAAGGTCTCGAATAAACGTTCAACTTTTTTTGTGAATCGATAGGAATGCTCTTTTCAAGATTGACAGAACAACTTTGTAAAGCAAATTAGGTTTGCCCTCCACCGACGTATAAACACTGTATACTCAGTGTGATACCTCCTGAGTGAATATTTGAGAAAAAAAATTACTCAGCTTAGACTCGAACCCACGACCTCCTGCTTTCTAGTGCAGAAGTCTTACCACTCGACCAAACGAGATCGGTTGGCTGGTTCGAATCTGATCCTTGTAAAGAACATACATGCAAACATTGAGGACTACCCCACCGCAATGGGTCTCAGCTGTGAAATGGTAAAACAAAGACTAGCCTGAAATACCTTCTTAGGGGCTTCCACCTGTTCAGCCGATGTGTTGGTTGTCCCGCCTGCCTCAGTAACATTACTCCAATTATCCCCATCGAAGCTGTAGGAGACTTGATATTCAGTCACCCAGTGAACCCCATGACCTTTAGTGATCAGACCGGAGACACTGTACATGGCACCGAGGTCGACCTGTATCCAGCTGTACCCATTGTGCAGATAAAAACCCCAGCATCTCCTTCCATCTGAATAAAGGATCAATTTATATTGGTCACAAATTTGTTTTATACAATTTCCTTTGGTAGTCCGAAGGCTCTTTAGTCCGAAGGTTCTTTAGTCCGAAGGTTCGATAGTCCGCCCTTGCCATGGACCACTTGTGGGGGCACCTGTCCTTTGTTCGAGGTACCCCACAAATAAAATCTTTAGAAAAAGGGGTATCCCGCAACGAAATCGTTAGAAATAGGGACAAATGAGACAACAATGGAAGTCAAGTCCATCCAGCTGGGATGTCCGAAGGTTCAATAGTCCGAAGGTTCGATAATCTGAAGGGCCCATTAGTCCGAAAATAGAATAAGGTTAATTAATTTAAAGGTTTGATAGTCCGAATAGACGATAGGGTTCGATAGTCCGAATCGTCAATAAGGTTCGATGGTCCGAATTGAGAATAAGGTTCGATAGTCCGAATAATACAATAGGGTTCGATAGTCCGAATTGAGAATAAGGTTCGATAGTCCGAATGTGCGACACGGTTCGTCAGTATGACAATTCAGAATATCGGACCTGTTGATTCGGACTATCGGACCTTATTGTTAATTTGCACTATAGAACCTTTGGATAAATGACCCTTCGGACTAATGAACATTCGGATTATTGAACCCTCAGACTATTGCATCAAATGTTATTAATTGAATATTGAGCCTTATTTCATTTTCGGAATAAGGAACCCCCTCCTATGGAAATTTTGTGCATTCGGAGTAACGAACCTTCGGACTATCGGGCTGTTACCGAATAATATACATGTACTTAAAAAAAGAAAGAAACAAGACTGATATTTTGCAAATAAAAAGCATGATCGTATATCAGGAACTTTAATGATCATTATAATTGTTTGTAGGCCTATTGGATTGGAATCCACCGATTATTGCAACTGATAGTTTGATCTGTTCACCGCTCTTATAGAGCACTAGCTCTCTGGCGTTGGTATTACTGCATCATGTGCATGTCGTTTTTTGGGGGTATGAGAAAATCGGCTTCCTATACAATACTGCAAACTTGCTTTTAACTTTGACAAAGTCTTACCCATGTGGCATGATTTTTTTTGCAAAACCATCGTCCCTCTATCTCTCTCTGTCATACTCAGTAGGTTGATCGAGAGTAACTCCACTTATTAAACAAACGCACGGTCACCACGCGGTATCATGAAAACTGTTACAATCTATCTATTTCACTGTCAGTCCCGATCCCACTGGAGAAATTAATACCGTGGGAACTTGATAGTGCGCTCGGTGGCAACACCACACAATGGGCTGCAGTCACAGTGATTGTCAATAATATAGCATCACCTGAATTTGTCAACTGTCTCGGTTTATTTCGGTTTATTTCGGTTTTTCAAAAGATGGCTAAACCGACTCGAAGATGTAAATGCAAAACCGAAGCCCACCCGACCCGACTGAAACGATGGGCAAATCGACCCGACCCGACCCGAAGTCGGTTTCGGATCGGGTCGATTTCGGTTTCGGGTCGGGTTTGCACATCATTAGTGAGAATCAAAAAGAGAGATGTATATTAATGTATGTATAATGTATATTTTATTGGCAGGGGTTTGGAAGGATACATCTCTTGATTACCGTTTGTTTTAACTTGAGCCTTTCCCTGGGCAGCCCCTGCTAATGAGAATTTTACTTTTTGGTTAAAAAAAATAACAAATAAGTTATTTCAAGTTGTAGGGTGATGATGATAGCCCTTCCGAGTGTGCTATTATATGATAAAACTAATAGAAGAAATGAAAATGGGAATGGGTGTGGAAAGCGAGAGATGAGAGCTTGTACATTTCTATTGCATTAAATGTGCATATTAAACCTCTCTTAGTGAAGGGGCCCTGTGCAGATTGTCAATTGTTTACCAATGTTGAACTCGTTCAGAAAATACCATACCTAGTCGCGCCTTGGTTGTCTGCCATGATACCAAATGCCTCAAATCCGTGATGCTACTGCTTGGGATGGAGCCATCCTTCATACCGAGTGGCTTCCCATTGCAGCAACCTGTCACAAAGTCATGGAGGTTAAAAAAAGAAAATCACCAGTCAGTCAGTCCATCAGTCAGTTGGTCCGTCACCCAATCGTTCCTTCATTCATTAACTCATTCATTAATTTTATTCATCCATTCGGGGAGTCAGTCAGCCAATCAGTCGGGGAGTCTGTCAGTCACTCACTCAGTCAGTCAGTCTGTCACCCACTCTTTCACCAAGTCTGTCACCCAGTCAGTCAACCAGTATGTCTGTCCGTCACCCAGCCTGTCAACCAGTCAGTAACCCAGTCAGTCAACCAGTCTGTCACGCAGTCTGTCACCCAGTAGGGGAGTCAGTCAGTCAGTCAGTTAGTCTGTCCCTCACTCAGTCATTCAGTTATTTCGAGTGTTGATGAAGCGCTCCATCTTCTGTTCATGCACATACCGTGGCCGTGCGGTATGGTTATATGTAGCACGGCTTGTTGCCATGGATCGACCAATCAGGATCGAGGATTCAAGTTTACTTGAAGATAATATGACATACCTGTAGGGCCAGTGTAAGTCTGCTGATTGCATCGTTGGTACGCCTCTCGCAGTGCCGTCTTCATCCAGCTCTCACCTGGCACAGGCTTAGGTGGACGGCCGTAGAAATTACACGACCTAACCTCGCCGTCCGCGTTACCATGGTAAACTGAGAATGGGTCAAGAATACGAAATATTTCCGTTGTATAACATACTACTACTAGACGACTTATACGCAAAAGCTGCAAAGTCTGGGGGTTTAATATTTCCATACAAATTTTCAACTCTGATTCGTACACTGGAATTGAGGATTGAGGAGGGTTGTCAGGCTAGGAAGTTGGTGCCTCGACTTTTATACACCCTCTATTCACAATTAGACTTGTTATTATATTGTGGAGAAAGTGTGAGGGCGCTCTTTGATTTGACTCAAACTAAGCGCCTTACTGTTTATAGCGTCCTCTGCACCGTGGGCTGTTGGAGGAAAATGGCAGACTCGAGACTGACTGAGGATAACACAGAGGATATCCTTTGGGCAGCGGAAGGATGCCTAGTAGAGATTGTGGAGACTGTCTAATAGCCTTGCAACCAGTAGGAAGTTGACAGAAGTCCAATTAACTTGTTGAAATACCGCTATTGAGACCGTTCCCTAGTTGAACTTTTGACCCAGAATTTCTGAGTCAAAGATCGGACCTAGGCCAAATTAAATATGATTTGTATTGTCCAGCTCCAACCGAAAGGCTTGTTAAAGGGAATGTACATCATTGACTTTTGCTGTAATTTTCAGAAATGAACTATTTGAGGGGTTACTATAATAGATCAAACATTGTTACACTGACATGCTTGAAGTTTTGTGTTCGAAAATGCTGGGGGAAAAAACAAGAAACACACAAATGGTGGAGTAGTCTGGCTCCCTGATAAAATCGATCAATGTATAGATGCCGGAAAATTGTAAGGTAAGGGAACCAGTCTAGCTGGCCTGCACCCGTTCATGAACATTTAACCAATAGCAAACAAAATTTGGACTGAAAAAAATGGTGAATTTGGAGCAGTAGTTGAAAAATAGTTAGGTTTTTCCAACGGTGGTCGGCCGACCACCGTTGGAAATTTATACAAAAATACCATTTTCTTGAAAACGACTCCACACCAGGTGCCATAATTTTCCAGGGTGCTTAAGACTGTCATTTAGCAACATCCTAGTGAGGTATTTTGTTAAAACTTGGTAGTTGTATTTTTCGATGTCTGCAAATGTTGTATATTCCCTTTAAGTATAGCTGCTGTTATCACAAGAATCTCAATCATCCTGCCTTGAAGCCTGGAAACATGCGGTCCTCATTCTTTTTTGCTATATACATGTCGCCTAAGGCTGAAATGGTGGGGGAGATGTCCAGACAAAAACCAGGGAGATAAAAATCGCGCTTTTTTCGCACGGGTACTGATCAAATACAGAGTAATCTGGGCATGTATACACGTGCTTGGCTTAGAATAGTTTTCTTGGGCGAAGAGGGCCTCTATCAATCTACAGTGTGAGTAAAAAATATATATATACTTGTAAAATTAGCCATAGTTTTTTCTATAGTAATATAGATAAGATATTTTCATATGTACTTTTAGAGTAACTCTTCCTGGTACTTTTGGTGACATTTTCACTGGATTAGTTTTCATGCATGACTGCACAGGATACAATTAAAGGGGTCGGGTGAAATCTGACTTGCAACAACTGCAGGACTGGATAAGAATGAGACACAACCATTGTCTTGGTTCTGGCCATGGAGTGCAAAATCAGTTCAGATTTGTGGATCTTGCTTACCAGAGTTTCAGTAAGCAAATCTGGATGACCTCCAGGAAAGGATAACTCGTGAAATTGACATTCTCAGACAAGACAGGGAGGTGATTCGCCATGCTGCTGCAGGAATGATGTGCCGAGCCCACCTATGTGCATTGAACGAGATGGTGGCCATGTTGAGGACTAAAACACCGTGGAATTTAATTGCCTTTTTAATTTAATTTAAATGTTTTAAATAAACACGAAGTTTAAAAGCTAATGAAAAAATGGTGAATTTGGAGCAGTAGTTGAAAAATAGTTAGGTTTTTCCAACGGTGGTCGGCCGACCACCGTTGGAAATTTATACAAAAATACCATTTTCTTGAAAACGACTCCACACCAGGTGCCATAATTTTCCAGGGTGCTTAAGACTGTCATTTAGCAACATCCTAGTGAGGTATTTTGTTAAAACTTGGTAGTTGTATTTTTCAATGTCTGCAAATGTTGTATATTCCCTTTAAGTATAGCTGCTGTTATCACAAGAATCTCAATCATCCTGCCTTGAAGCCTGGAAACATGCGGTCCTCATTCTTTTTTGCTATATACATGTCGCCTAAGGCTGAAATGGTGGGGGAGATGTCCAGACAAATACCAGGGAGATAAAAATCGCGCTTTTTTCGCACGGGTACTGATCAAATACAGAGTAATCTGGGCATGTATACATGTGCTTGGCTTAGAATAGTTTTCTTGGGCGAAGAGGGCCTCTACCAATCTACAATGTGAGTAAAAAAACCTATACACTTTTAAAATTGGCCATAGTTTTTTTCTGTATAATATAGATAAGATATTTTCATATGTACTTTTAGAGTAACTCTTCCTGGTTCTTTTGGTGACATTTTCACTGGATTAGTTGAAATCGGGTGAAATCTGACTTGCGACAACTGCAGGACTGGATAAGAATGAGACACAACCATTGCCTTGGTTCTGGTCATGGAATGCATTATCAGTTCAGATTTGTGGATCTTGCTCACAAGAGTTTCAGTAAGCAAATCTGGATGACCTCCAGGAAAGGATAACTCGTGAAATTGACATTCTCAGACAAGACAGGGAGGTGATTCGCCATGCTGTTGCAGGAATGATGTGCCGAGCCCACCTATGTGCATTGAACGAGATGGTGGCCATGTTGAGGACTAAGACACCGTGGAATTTAATTGCCTTTTTAATTTAATTTAAATGTTTTAAATAAACACGAAGTTTAAAAGCTAATGAAATATTGTTTTGTCTCTTTGTTAGACAGTGGTTGTGTTTTTTTTTAAATTGTTTCTTAGTTATCCAGCCCTGACCAAATGGCGCAAGTCAGATTTCACCTGACCTCTTTAATTGTCTCCTGTGCAGTCACGCATGAAAACTAATCCAGTGAAAACGTCACCAAAGGAAGCAGGAAGAGTTACTCTAAAAGTGCATATGAAAATATCTTATATTTATTGCTTCAGATGAAAACTATGGCCAATGTTAAAAGTGTATAGTTTTTCGACTCGCACTCTATTTGTAAACTTTGAGAAGGGGTTATGTTCAACAAACACCTACTAAAGGGATTGTGTTTAAACGTAACACCCATGCACCATCATACTGAAAAGTTCCGTACTGTGGTGGATTACATCTGAAATAAAACGATGGCGCCTCGCAGCTTTAAAAATACGTTAAAAAATAAATTAAAATTTTCTTAATTTCATTACCTTTTGGATAAATATTTCAAAATGAAATCTTTGTTAGGAATTCCAAAAGAGTAAGTGCAGGTCATTTCAATGTAAAAACGTGGCGTTTTCCACTTTTTTATCCCCCGCACACTTTTTTAATGGCCGCCAACGACCAAAACCAAAAAGGAAATCGTTGAAAAATATAATCTGTAAAATGCTAGGCATTCCAAAATTGCTTTATATGATCACCCTTAGGTCTTAGCAGTTACCAGTCAACATGAGGACCCAACTAATATCTCACACAGGCTGATTGACTAAAACACCTGTAACTTGCAGGTCTATTATGATTTACAAAAAGTGCAAGCTCATTGAACAATGCATGACTTGTGCACATCAAACATTTCACTACCATAAGCGTACAGGCTGCTATCAGAGCGGCTAATTTGACACTGTTGGCGCATTTTTTTCTCCACCTTTACCTACATAGTTTAGCCCATATTCATATCTCACAAATACAAAGGGGATAAGCATAAAAAAATATATATTCGGGGGAGCATTGCCCCACCGCAGTCTTTGCTAAGCATTGCAATCAAATTTCTTTTTTCTGTATCTGAAAAAAGTGTGGCTATATACATGTAGTGCCAAAAAGTACAATGCCATCGTCATCATTAACCTTTACAAATGACTTCAGGGCGGGCGTGCGCCGTAGCGCAACGCTCATTTGTCACTGAACCGAACAATGACTGTCAAGCTTAATTGATTGGCGAATCAATTAAACGCGGCTCGTTAGGCGAAGGATGAGGCTGGTATTGTCTGTGAAGGCTTCGTCGGCTTAACAGCCGATTATTAATGATTATCGTTTCACTTGAATGACTGGCAATGCGTTGGGCATTTTCAAAAGATATTTCGAACAATTTCACTCGTCTTTATTAAGGGAATAAATATGTATTTTGGCAGGTTTTAAACATGTGCGTTTAAAACCAGCTTGGGGCCTGGACGCTGATAATGGCCCAAGCTGAACATTATCAGCGTCCAGGCCCCAAGCCAGTTTTAAACATACTTGTTTAATACTGGCCAAGCACATCTTTGTTCCTATTCATAAATACCTTTGAGTCAAAAAGTAAAAACAAGTCAAAAATTATATATTTCCAAAGATTTTGTACAACACTTTTACTTCATGTTTTCTGAAACACCCCTCTATCTATGTTATGGTATGTGCCTTTCGCAAGTTAGACTGGTCTCCCCCCCCCCCCCCCCAATAAACCTGGCCAAAATTCGTAGTCCTAAGGTCGATGCAGCGACTGGCGCAGAACGCTGCGATGCCGGTGTACTCTGAATTTAGCACTCTGTGAAACACGGGATCATTGGTGGTATTGCGCATGCCTCAGTGAAGATTGTGAACGTTTAACCAATAAAAGGGTAAAGGGACCAGATTTCATAGGCCTTCCAATTTCATGTCACACCGGACTTGGTATCCTGTCATAGGTATATTTAATGTCCAAATTGTTGAACACAGATTCCTAAACTTCGCTTCATTCATCTATACGGTTTATCATTGGTACAGAAAATAAACTGTGAGAAGGAGGGAAGGTGGAGGAGAAGGAGGAGGGGAGGAGGAGTAAGAAGGGGGAGAGAGAATGTATGCAGCCTTAGATAGTGTGCAGCCAACGTCTTTGTATTTGTTATACACCATTCTGCGGTTTGATACATTTCTCATTCATAAAAACGACAACACTTCTACATCCATCAAGGTATTTTTTTTCTATAAAAAAAGGATTTCGATGCATTTTGACGATACTATTTTATGGACAAATCGACTAAAAATAAGGTCATGAAATTTCCTGGTTTTTTCGACAACGACGAAAGTCTCCCAAATGTTGAGGTAATCATAGGAAAGAATGAACCT